TAGAAAGAAATATTTTTAATTTAATTCTAATTTTATAATTCTATTAAAGTAAGAAATTAAAAACATCAAACCTGAATTCAATCTCCTCTTTGGAAACATTATCTTGATGAGAAAATAATGCGGATGCAGCATTTCTTGAATTAGTTGCAGGTAACTCAAGTCCTTTTAGCTTGTCATAAGTATGATCAAGCCAAAAACTCTTGCTGTGCTCGGGCAACAGCAGGGCAGGACACATAGCTAGTAGATACATCATGTAATCTGATACGCATTTACTGGTTTTCTTGATTTCATCAGCATCATCATCATCCTCTTGCGAGCAGCAAACACTTGTGGCAAGATGCCATACTATGATGCTATGATCAAAGTCCAATTCAATGCTCCATTTTAGTTCATCAAATTGTTGCCCATGTTGTATTGCCTTTTCTCCTCTTGATATCTTGAGTCCTTCCTCCCTAAAGAATGAGTGAAAGAGGTTGTCGTAATTGCCATTGTCTTTCAAATAATCTGGAACTTCCACAAATTTAGAGGACCAGTATTTGTGCCACATTTCAATAATTTCACGGCCATTAGTGATCTTCAGTAGAATACCCCATGTTTGGTTCACCTTCCTTCTGTTGCAACGCCAACAATATTCCACTAGATCAAATTGACCCATCTGATATGACCACCTTTTGCTTCGACGCAATAAGCAAGGGAAGCACTTTAAGGCGGCCTTAAATATTTTGCGTACGAACACAATATCGTGAAATTGCGCACCAAGAATTGCCCAATCAGAAGAAAGCATTACACATGCTGCATAAAGGTCCAGTGCAATAGCTCCACTCAATAAGATGCCAGTTATGCCAATATCAATTCTTGAGAAATGGAATTTTGGCTCATTAATTATGCTGATGAAGAAGAGTAGTAGAACTGAGAAGGAGCTAGCGAAACTGGTGAAGCGCAATAAGCATCCTAACTTGGTGTAAATCAAAGCAGCTTTGGTGTAAACAACGTCAAATATAAATCCAATTTCGGTAACAAGAACTTCAAAAACACCAATCGACCTGTAATCTATTAATTCGTCGGTAAATTTTGGAAAGAAATCGAGAGCACGAATACCGACTATACCTGCATTTTCTTTGATATAAGCTTTTAGCCTTTTTCTAAGTTCGGAAACATTATGGGATGAGAGGTAATCCTTGACATCTGGTCTCATAATTATAAACAATAGATAACCAGCCAACACATTTGGGTTTGCTTTTAGATGGTCATTAAGGGCTGAAGAGTTATTGGTTTGAGGACCTTGAGGATTAAAGATATTAGAAATGACTGGTTTTGTTTTCTGTGAATTATTTTGCTTGAGACACAATATCTTCTCTACATATTTAATAATCCCAGCTAAGACCAGAGGGAAAGTTAAAAACGAGATCCAAGAAAAGGTCCACGACAAACAAATGACATAAACGACAAAAATCGCTTTGACAACAAGGATGAGGAGGTGCCTAATCCAAAGCTTGTTGTCTTCAAAGGAATAAGCTGTGATGGTGTCAGGGCCACCAAGATGTAGCAAGAGTAAAGGAGCCCAGTATGCTCTTAAGACATTGGTGGCGGGAGATTTTGTATAGGAACCGGAAAGCTTGCCCAAAGTAGCAATGGCAATCCAGTCAGAACCTAAGTAGGCAAACAATAGAATGTTTTTGAAGAGAGGTTTAATTTTGTATTTCCTACGCCCACCTAAGACAGAGAGGACGATTTGTAAGGTAAGACTAAAAAGAACCAATCCCCTCACATCCCATTTCTGCCACGCTTCCATCAGCAATTTTGGATATGAACTCATAATTGAATTTGACTTCCTGCTGTTTATAAAGAAAATAAATAAATAAATAAATTACACTAAAAAAAATATAAGGATACCCTTTTCAAACATATATATATATATACACATAAAAATATTTTACAATATAGATTGCACGTTAAAGTGTAGTTTAATATATGCATTTCTAGAGCACCCTTAAATAAATCATTTATTATATTATTTTATTAAAAATACTTTAATATTTTTACTAGTCAAATTATACTTTTAACATGCAAACATGCAATCTAAGATGTAAAGTATGGATGTTATATATAAATATCCCTTTCCAAGAAACAAAAGCAAATTTTTTCATTATGAAACCAGATCCAAACAAAAGCAAATTATGTATGAGAGAAATTGACAAAAAAATTGTTGGGTACGTAGAAAGTGGTAGATCATTAATTCTTATATACTAATATAAAAATTTAAAATTAAATTTAAAAAAAAAAAGGTCTTTCTCAGAAGATTGCATTTGACCCACAGCTTCAAATTTTGTAACCAAAA